TCTCTCTCTCTCTCTCTCTCTCTCTCTCTCTCTCTCTCTCTCTCTCTCTCTCTCTCTCTCTCTCTATATATATATATATATATATATATATATATATATAATATTAGAAATATGTTTAATATAATTATTTTTATGCTCAAGTCAACATAATTTTTGAAGTGTAAGGATGGAAAGATTGAATCCTAGATAAAGAATATTTTAAGAATAAAAATATTTTCAAGAATATTTTGTTCATGTTTGCCTGACAAACCCATTTGATTGGTTCTTAAGTGTCGAGTTTTTATCATATCAGATGGAAAGTAATGCTTTAGATTAAAGATTGAAACAATTTGATTTGCAAATTAAGATTAATGGTACATGGCACTCCTTTTTACATCCTATGAACAATATCTCGAGGAATACAAGAACAAGAATGTAATCCCAGAAGAAATATAAATGGACATAATCTTCAATCTGGTAGGTGGATTGTGATGCTAACTCAAGGAAAGATGTTAACCAATGCTTTTATTTTTCTTAATTATCCTTCACCCACATAATTTGCTATAATCAAATTAAGCTTATTTTTTTTTTAAACAAATAAATTATCTATTCTTTTGTTTGAATAAAAAATAGTAGGAATATCACAACCTCAGAGATCTTCTTTCTACAACACCATAAGTTGATCAATATGTGAGTTTTCCTATTAGTGCTAAGAGTAATATAAGACAAAGAGCTTGATTGTATATGTACTTTTGGCTAAGACTGCTATGTTGATCAAAATATTTGGAACAAGTTAGGAAGATTATTAAGCAAAGTATAATAAATTGGCTAAAGGTTAATTTCTTTTCAGTCATCACAATGAGACATCTATCTATCTATGAAACCATGAGTCAGTCATATATGGGCTATTGGAGAGCACAGGTTGACCAAGTCAATTCAATTCAATTCTTCTTTTAGTGGAATTAGATGACCTTTTCCAGAAAGGAAGGGTGGCTTCTAACTCCCAATCAAATCTCTTTGACTTTCCCAAGTAGGAAAGCAATACAGGCCGTCAGATCCTCCAATTCATTTATTACGGGCGTATCACCATAACTCCACCTCATAAAAGATCCCATTCCGGTTTAACACACGATTTAATCCCCCAGCCGACGCTTCTCGTCTCATGTGGTCGCGCCTCCTCCGAGAGCCGCCACTCGCGGGCAGCCATAAGTACCAAGTCGCTCCCCTTCTTCCATGCATCGACTTTTAGGAGACGGACGTCCAACACCCAAGTCGACGCCGGTTCATCTCTCTCTCTCTCTCTCTCTCTCTCTCTCTCTCTCTATAAATATGATTACGGACTATCTGTGGATGTCTTTTGCGGCCGGCTCAAGAAATCCTGTTTAACGTTTTGCTTTTGATGATTGTTTTGTCATCTTCTTTTAATTGTTGTTCGGACTTTGCATATTTGTCTCGTTCCTCGTTGTGTTATTAGCACAGATCGTTCTCATAATAGTTCTAATAATTAGGAAGATGCCATGATCTTTTCCCGAGGAATTAACTCTGGGAGGTATTTATTTCTGTAACTTGATAAAGCAGCAAGTAATTGGCAGAATTTGCAGTCAGAATATGCTAAGTTTGTTCTATGCTAAATATGAGTGCACTCTGTGAATTTGTAATCGAAGTTAATAGTATCGTATGTTTGCATTGCGATCTGAGTGATCTTTCTTTGTTGACTGTCGATACAGGCTAAGCAATCAGCGTCTCCCAAAGTAACATTTGTCTGATCATGGTAAACATGCACATCTTGTTGCCATTCCTCTTGGTTTGCTTGTGTGCTCAGAGCCAGAGCCTTTCGTGGCCCTTTTCTTCTTCTTCGTCGTCGTCACCATCATCTATAAGAGAATTGAACCAAGGCTTCCCGAAGGAGATCAGTGCTGCAACAGCCGAGTTCTCCATGGAAACGCTCGACGACCGAAAGGGATTGAAGCTGGTGGAGAACGCAAGGAGAAAGCTGGTCGGAGCAAACAGTTGCTGGCAAAACGCTTACCGAAACCTTTTCTCTGGTTGTGCAGAGATCATAGCCGATAAAGAGAAGCAATCGAGATTAGCTTGGCAGCTCAGTGATTGCTTTCAGATAGACTCCGGGAGATCAGCTTTTCCGAGTTGTGATGCAGGGGCTCCGATGTTGAGATGTCTCAAGACGTTAGATGATGTGGAGCACAAGGTCTACCTCGAGTTCTTCTTGGAGACCAACTCCATCTGCCACCAGTTACAGTTAAGCATTGTAATACTCGATCACATCTTTGTTCATTCACAGTTCAGCATTCTAATGTTGAGATTTTCGAGTTGAATCTTTTCAGGACTGATGCATTCAAGCATGACACAGAGAGGTTGGTCAATGATTTACTGAGATCAGCTCAGTTTGCAGAACAGAAGTTGGATGTCATGGAAGAGAAATCCGAGCAGCTACTGCAGCACTCCGATAAAGTCCAGGATTCATTAGCTTCCATCAACCTCCAGAACCAGCAATTATCCCAAGCATCAAGTGCTGTCGAGGCCCAGATCCATGACGTGTTGGAGCACTCCAAGGCGATCTTTGAGCAGTCCAAAGAGATAGCAGCTTCGCAGGTAGAGCTGCAAGGAGGACAGCTCGACATGAAAGAGAAGCTCATCTCCGGCATGGCAAGCTTGCAGGAGTCCTACAAGAGTTTGGATGACGGGATGCTGAAGCTAAGGGAGGAAGCTGTAGAAATCGAAAGAGAAATACAGGTAGTTGGGACCTCCATGTCCTCAAAGATGCAGAATCTTCAAAGCAAAGCCGACGATATTGGTAGTGTTGCAGGCTTGTCCTTGGAGAAACAGAAGCAGCTTCTCGACAGGCAGGCTTTGGCCCTCGAAGGCCTCGATTTCCTCACCAAGTTTCAATCCCAAGCGCTTGAAGAAAGCCGGTAATGTACCAAATTCGCTTCGTTAATTCTATGAGTCTGCTACCACATTGCTGAATCTGCTACTGCCACCTTTGCTCTCTCTCTCATCAGGGACACCTTGCAAAGACTAGCAGAGCTCGGTAACAAGCAGCAAGAGGAGCTACTCCTCGGACAAGAGCAAATCCAACAGGCTCATGACCGTCTGATTCGGAACTCTCAATCGATATTAGCAGCTCAGGTATGACACATGACAGCCATGCTTGAATCTGACTGACTGTTAAGCATTCTTCTCTTCCGGCGCATCAGACAGATTTGGCTTCTGTAACAGGAAGAATTCGAAACGAAGCAAGCAAACATTTTCGCTGCTCTGGACAAGCTCTTCGCGCTGCACAACGCAATTCTAGTAGAATCACGATTCATGAAGGCTTTCTTCTTCTACTCCTGCGTGATCTTTCTTCTCTACATGCTCACTAGTACGAAACAGACATACAGCATCCGAGCACGCCTTTACTTAGGTGAGACTCTGCGTTTGATTCTTTACATTTGCTGATCACCATTGATAGCATTGGATACCAAACGATTACAGGTCTCTGTACCACATTTGTGCTCGAGGTCCTCATCGTTCGATTTGGTGGCGATGACTTCGATCAGCAGTCTCGAATCATGTCCAAAGTGTTCCTAACTCGATCCTCGTTTCTGGTTGCTTCAACCATCCAAATCATTCATTCTTTGTTTACCTACAGGTGACAATATATCAACATAATTTGTACCTTCTGTTCAAGAAAAAGAAAAGAAATCATGGATTTGAGATCACATATTTGCCTGTGCAGAGACTATGAGATATTAAATCATCAGTTGCTGCTAACGTTGGTGGAGAAGGTTCGGATAATGGAACAAAATGAAGGTCTGTAATTGCATCACTCAAGTTGACATTGCCATTGTAGATAGATTATCTGTAGATTGAGCTTCTGAACACTGATGGATGTGGTGCAGGAAACAAGTTCTTGGCTTTCGGCTCAGAGAGTGACATAAGTGTGAGCCAGTACTCATGGATGTACGATGAGTTGCCGGAAGACATCGATGACAAGGTTGATCCAGATTATATATTGCCGGAGGAAGAAGTTGGGGAGAATTCCATCACTGTAATCTCAGACAGCAGAAAATACAACCTTAGGCCTCGTCGTAGGCAATGAACTCTCAATTGTTATTGTTCCTTCTAACAAGTTCTAATATAATGACTCTTCCATTAAAGACAATGGCAAGTGGAACTCCACCAGCTTTCTCCGAGAAAGTTTCTCCAGCAATGGTTTCAGGCTTCATATGATACTAATCGAATAATTCAAATGTTTCATGCTTCTACCTCACAATCCACACCATGGGTTGAACTGTCCACATCATCCATGCATGCTCTCTTGTCCTTAGTCTGTGTCCCTGTTTCTGTGTGTGGAAAATCCATGATTCTTAGACCACATGAATCATTTACTGTCAATCTTCATTAAGGCACCTAAATTACTGACTATTTATTGGTCATTCGCAACTGTCCATTTCTGATCTCACTAACTATCCTGTAATGAGATGAGACAAATGGATGCTTCTTTTACCCAGTTTAAGAAATAGCAAAGAAGCCTTCCTTTTGACCAAATGCTCTTGTCTTCATCAAAAACCAGATTGTAGTGCAGTACCATTTTTAACTCTCATACTGTGTCCAATTCTAAACCATGTCATCATATATTACTACTGGATTCATTATATCATCTTACTGACATTGGCAAAATACTCGATCCAATTAACTATCAGCTTACTGGAAGAGAGGCACAAACACCTCACAACTTGAGCATTGCAGCTATCTAGAATTCTCTTACTATAGAAATGAAATGGGAAGAATCCTAAGTCTCTTACTATAGTTTCTCTTGCACTTGATGTACTGTTTTAGGCGCCAAGTACAACTCTTTTTGTATGGATGGTACATTGTGACTTGCCTTACGACTATGCCTATTCTCAGTTTTCTTGAAAGTGAACTGCTCCCCAAGTCCTTCAGCAACTCGATAGGGACCTCTTAATCAATGCGTTATCGATGGTATCTGAGCTGATATGCAACTTTCGTGAGTAACAAGAAAGAGAGAAGAAACACAGAGCGAATTGCTCGACAAAGGCAGGCAAAAGAGATGAGCAGTCAAGAAAAAACAACAGATGAGGAGTTCTTTCACTGACTTATCCTTCTACCCGACTTGTCATGGCATAACCATCTCAGAAGCTTCTGAATCAGACCAAAAATGGAACCAAGAGCTCAAAATTTCTCATCAAAATCTCGATCGCCGTATGCTTATACTAATTTGTTCCGACAATCTAAATCAAACGATCTTGCACCGCGTTGTCATCATCACTCATGATGATGTTTTCAGTATGAGATACTGCTTTTGGATGAAAGAACGTCAGGTGGAAAGTCTTATCTTATCTAATCAAAGCATTCCATCTTAACAAAGAGAACATCCTCACTTTTGAGCCACCAGTGGGGTGAAGGCGCCAATGTTTCCTGGAAAAGCCGAGAAACTTAGACCTTGTTTACACCACGCGTGAAGTAGGATGTTATGGACCACAGCAGACTATGCCATCAAAGAACTAAATCATAGATGTTAAAGATTTTATTCCATAACGCATAGATAGATACTAAGAGATCCTCCTACAATTTCTGTCATCCAAATCCTGAGAATTCAGCAGACATCAACACTAGAGTGACTTCGGTGGCAGCCTCATCCAAATCACAACCTTCAACTAGTCATACATACAGATAGAGCTGGAAAGCAAGCTAACAAGTCTTTGATTACGCTTCCACTGGTGATAGCGATACCAAAGCCACTTGTGGCGGCTACTCTTTTTCTTCAAATAGAAGCCTATACATGCACGATAGCAGCTGAAGCATTATCATGTTCGGGTTCAGTGTATGTTGAAGGTTTGTTGACGCTTCTATTTTAATGATCATATTTGTATATTACCGATATGTCATGTGACCTCCAAATCCATAGGTATAATATAATTTTGGCTTGATATAATCCAAACTGGGAAGAGAAGGCATCATTCTGAATCCCCCCATTCCCAAGTTCATCGTGTTGTTTTGTGTTGATTAATGACTTAATCAGTGGAGTGATCATCCAAAAATTTTGTTCAGTGATGGTAGTTCTTCGTCATAATGTGTGCCATCTTCGAGTTCTTCAAGTTGCAGACCGTTCGGAGCATTCATCATGCACAATCTTTGAATACTACATCGAGGAAGTAGGATTCCACCATGGTATATAGATTTCAGCTTTGCAGTTCATCTCAGTCTTCTCTTGAATCGTGCAGATTACTGCTCCATGCTAATGTCTGAAGACTTCTATGGTTCTTCAAATTACTAGCAATAAACCCTGCAAGAATACTATGCCGAAAGTGCTAAGCTTCCATTTGAGAGATATCAGACTAAATGAAATATAGGAGTTAGGTATAAGGAGCAGTATCTTTAGTGTGTACACAGAACCATCCATATTCTATCGCTATCCATTTGCTGATGCAGCACATTACAAGTTTGTTTTATGGCCATCCATGTCAAGCTTTCCAACTTCCATCTAACCTGCCATCTAACTTTCAAATCCTCCTCTCAGTCCGTATTCATGGTCCAGCTCAGTGAAACATGGTCATTGGGGTGTGCCACCTATAAATACCGAGAAATGATGATTCTTCAATCAACACACACAAGCTAGCACAGAGAGAGAGAGAGAGAGAGAGAGAGAGAGAGAGAGAGAGAGAGATGGGAAGGAAGCCATGCTGTGCAAAGGAGGGGCTTAACAGAGGGGCATGGACAGCTCACGAAGACCACATCCTCAAGTCCTACATTGACACCCATGGAGAAGGCAAATGGAGGAGTCTCCCCAAGCGAGCAGGTGCAGCACAGAGTAATTAGGTTCCTTGGAACACGTATGGTACTTCCGACTGAACATGAACGAACTTGTGCAGGTCTAAAGAGATGTGGGAAGAGCTGCCGTCTGCGGTGGCTCAACTACTTGAGGCCGGGTATTAAGCGTGGCAACATATCCGACGACGAAGATGAACTCATCATCAGACTCCACAAGCTCCTCGGTAACAGGTACTCACCGATTTCTTGTGGTCTTAAAGATACGTACTACGTTTTATAGCTCAGAACATGTCAATTCGATTGTTTGTTGTTGATAATAGATTTGACACAGTGGAAGAACGTGTTAAGAACAACAGGATTTCAGCATGCAAATGTAGAAATCTAAACTATAATTAGTGTTTCTTCAATGGTGGACGCAGATGGTCTCTAATTGCAGGAAGACTGCCAGGGCGAACAGACAATGAAATCAAGAACTACTGGAACACCACACTGGGGAAGAAAGCTTACGGCAAGGCATATCAACCAAAGCCCTGCATGAGTAATAACTCCGCCGCCGGTCCAGCTGCGATCACAGCGAAAGCCGCCCCGGATCACACGGCCGTCGTCGTCCAGACCAAGGCCCAGAGGTGCACCAAGACATTCTTCCACCACGACCAAGCACTACTCGTGTCGTCATCTACCCATCAACAGCATCTTCAGCCGGCATCGAAGCCGTCCATGAGCCCCCCGAAAGCCTCTCCTGATGCTCCTGCTAATGCCGACCCGTCCCGTGCCGCTGGTGACCTCCCACTGACAGTAGGTGAAGAAGACGAGGATCCCTGCTTCAGCATGTCTCTCGATAGCACGTTCCTTCTCAGTGGCCTCTCCACCGAGTTCTGGATGGAGAGTGATTCCCTTCAACCGCACATTGAGTTCAATCTCAGTTCAGTAACAGCTTTTCTTGACGCAGACGACGACTGGCTGAACTGGACACCAAGTTGTTGAGGAAAGAGATTCCGATGTGGTGCAAAGCAATAAGAAAGTTTGATGGGGAAATCTCACTCAAAAGGAAAAGGTGAAAAGAAATATGACTGTACAACTCATTTTGCGTGTAGTTTTTGCACAATCAAAATATGGTGTCAAAATCACCAAAATAAATTTTTCTTGTTGGAAATATTCATACGTGTATGACATGATAGTCTTATATAATTAAGAATTAAAAAGCTCATATTATATATGTAAGAATTAAAGAGACATTATAAAATAGCATCTTATGATGGGAGATATAAAATAGCATCTTATGATGGGAGATATATGGAAGAACAGAAAATTATTTTGAACATGTTTTTGTTCTTGATGGTCAGTTCCAATAAAAGAAAGGGAAAATAATGCATGCATGGCTTAGGACTTGGACTGTGACAATCGCAATTTGCCTTCACAGCCACACAGCTTCCATCAGCAGACAAGATTCACTGATCATATTTGATTTAGGCTGTGACATCCAAAACTCTGAACCAGAAACAGACAACTGTTCAAGGCTTCACGACAAGAACATACACAACGTGATTCTTGTCTTGTCTTCGGAGAGATTTCTACGAGCGCAATTTAATCTCTCCTGTCCCAGAAAAAAGAGAGCAAAAAAACATCTGCCCTGAGATAAGAATCAAAAGCAGCCAAGCATGCAGGCCCAGCAATCAGGGAACAGAAGCACGATAGCAAACGTCCAACATGCCGATGACCCCATGGAAATTACCTCTGCAAACCTTAAAAAGCATCCAAGAAACGTCTCGCTTTCAGAACAGAAAAGGACTGTCCTTCCATTGCCGATGTGCAGACCACATGCATTCAAGAGTGTCGGATCCCACGAGATCAGCATATGACATTATTACTATTACCATTACCTACCGCGCTGACAGTCAATGGAAGGGCAGCTCTCTGCTTGGAAGAAGTCATGGCGTGGGGAGATGATGAAACTCGTACGAGAAGCTGTGACCTGGAATCAACTCCATCAACCATCGTATGACGACGAGTAGAAGCAGTGAACAAATTCTTGATATATGCTCAGTATTCGAGTTCCGTCAGTTGATTAAGCTGCCGATGGAAATGACGAATCACACGTCCTTGATCTGAAGACATGACAGTGGGGAAAAGTAAGTCTCTGCAGACTCCACATGTACCGCCGGCTCGAATCTGCCATCTCTGTTCTCACCAAAAGGTCTCGGTATGCGCCAAACTGGTCATTCTCTTTCCATCCTTTTCCTCGGCGCCACCAGCGTTGGCGCCACACTCGCATCTCCATTAGCCTAAGTCAAATAATTATTGCCGACGACTACATGATGGCACAGCCGGCCAACGATTGATCGATCCCAAGCTTACTGCCTTCTGCAATGGCGAATAGATTGGAGGGCTCGATGGCATCATCCTGACGTATCTCTCAAAGAAAACTTCGCCTTCGAAATCCATCGGATCACATCGAAATATTGGAGCATGGATCTTCCAACACAAGTTCCGTAAAGCATAAAGTTTGGTCCTGGGGAAAGTACTTCTCTGATGGAAGGTGAGATCACGGAGCACAATATTGCTTTCTTGATTCGAGAGATGCATCTCTTCCTTCGGGCCAAATGAAAAGGATCCCACAGAAACTGTATATACTTATTTCCGGAGCTGTGGCGGAGTTGGCAGTCAGATGATGCGTCGTGTTCGAGAATCCTTCTATTGAGGTTGAAGCACAGAATCCATATTGGAGTGTATGAGATGTCGCCACCAGCAAATTTCAAGGAAACCAAATTTAATCAACATGATTGAAGGCCACTATCAGAATTTTCTTGACCTAAAAAAGCAACAAGAGGCAACAATTAGAATTCGTCTCAAAGATCCACCAAACACCCATAATACACGGTGATTATTTGTTAATCGATTGCATCCCCTAAGTTGGCACATGTAAGTACATTTCTTTTGTGAGATCTCATTTTCTAGCATTTGAGAATGCTAAATTATAGTTACCTTTTAACTATAATTAAGGAACAACTCCTGCACTATTACTGGCAGATGGGTTTTATTGAGAATCATACAAAAAGAAATTTCAGTAATCACATTAAAATAGATTTAACTATTGCATTTTTTCAGTACATGGATAATCAAATAATTTAAAATTAATAATTTTATTCAGATTAGCCAACCGTCTCTTTAATAATATTATTCACGTTGAACATAAATATTAGAATTGTTTAATTAATTAAAGAAAAGAAAAAACAGCACCTAGAATTCAACAGAGAAAGACTTGTAGGGTTTTACCAGTGAACAAAGCTCAATAGGGAGAACATCCAAGAATATGTTGAGAAGCTGATCCTGGCAAGTTGCTGAGTCTGAAAATAGAAGCAGATGGTGGAAGCTCCTGAGTTGCATGCATAAAGCACATCATGACCATTGTACATATCACAATACATAAGTGACCAAATCATTAGCTTAAAAAATACTCATAATTGCTTTGTTTACATGGGTGTTACAAAAAACCAGATCCTTCTCCTTGTAGCGGTCTGCCTCCACGGCCTGCAAACTTTTTTGGGCTAGGTTTGATTCCAGTCTGTGTCTGCAATTTTGCCAATTCCCTTACCTGAGATAGAATGGGTGTTGGTATTGGTACAGAAGTCTGTTTGCCAAAGTTCTTTGCCTGCAGGAACACAGAAAAAATGACCAGCATAAATGAGTTACTATCTCTTTTCAAATGAATCACAACCAAAACTGCCAGTCAGCCTCGAGTAATTATAATCAATAAAAGAATAAAAGATCCTAACTACTTAATAAATCCTTAAGGGAAATGGGTGCTAGTAGTTATCTCAAGGAAAAGATGCATCTTCAGGTCGGTTTCATAGACGGAATGGAAGGATCTGTTAAATAAAATACACAACTAAAACAACTCATGAAACTCACCTCTTTCTTAGTAGGGTATTGTGCTAAGCTGGCCCTCAGTAGGTTCCTCCATTTATCCTGAAGAAAGAAAAAACAACAAACAGTTATATTAATAACATTAAAGTTCAAACATACTTCATCTTCATAAGTTTGCTTGATTATGAGATATTAAAATTCCTGATTCAGAGGTTGACTGTGTAGTTGAGAACTTGCCTTAAGATCAACAGAGGTTCGATAAGAATAAGAGGCAAAGGCTAGTCTTCTGATCTCGGACCACCTTCCAGCTCCGTACTTAGCTACTCCATCGACTAGCTTCCGAACCTCACATAAAGTCCAAGCCCTATGATGCTTCCTCCTTGCGCTACCCTTAGGTGCTGGCTGTGTATTAGCATTACCGTATGTTGTATCTCCATTTGCATCTAATCCTTTATGGTGAAGATCTAAATCCTCTTCACAATTCAATGTTTTTGTATTCATTTTCACGTCCCCTTCACCAGCAACACTCTGGCACATGATGAATTCTATTGAGTAACATTGCCAATTTAAAATTCCAATGTGTGCATTCAGCAGGTTCAGGGTCATCAAAGATTGATGTATATTCATGTTTAAGACCAAAGGCTGATGCCCACAAAAACTACAGAGGCAAGGCAAAAGACATTGAGTTGTCATAACTAAGCATGGGTGGATCCAGAAGAAAAAACAAAGCTTTAATATTAATACGAGATGATAAAAATGTGTTTGTGAAATCCTAGTTGGCATAGACTAAAATATTTTTAGTTTGTTTAAAAAGAAAAAGTGAGATCATCAAATCTTAAAGCCAAGTGGTTGGTACTTCTAACATTTTCCTCCACTCTGAAAGACCATCTTTTTTTATAGGGAAGTTTTCAGGACTTGTTGGATTCTAAAAAGTAAATAAAGAAGTCAGCGTAGAATTGGGCCTGGGAACATGTGGCTTCAGAGACTCTGTTCCATATAAATTGAAAAGGAACAACCTTATAATGACACCAAAGCCTACCCTCTAAGATTCAACAGTAATTAAAAATCTTGTTGAAAATACACAGAGCATTCCACTTGCTACACAAAGGTGAACCATGAATAGGGCTGCATGATAAGTTACATATTGATTTACCAGCTGTAATATCTGCACTGGAACAGATACGATTTCCCTAGATCTGCTTCCATTACCGCTGCCTTCTTCCAGTGCAGGAATCATAACAGCTGCTTTTACCATGTGAGAGATGGTAGCAGGGTTGTATTCCTGCAAACAGGAATAAAGGATAAGGTTTACAAAACAAGAAAACGCCAAGGAACTTTTCCACTTTGAGAAAGTAATTCAATTATCATAAAGAACAGGCCTTTTGAAAGCTTTCTCAAGTTCAAAAAAGTCAACTTATTGAGGTAAATAAGAATAAAGTTCCTGTTACATAATTCATCAAAAAGACAGAGCATTCTCATGTACTTTTATTGTTCTATGATTATATTGTTCATCAAATCTGCATGGTGCCATACTCGAATGATTCACTACGATAGTGTTATAGAACCCCATTCTAGGTTCAGCTCAAACTCCACCAACAATCAACAATGATACTAAAGACAAGTCCAGTCAAATCAGTTTCAGTTAAATGAAACTTGGATCATGCAAATAGATGGTAAATGAATGAAGATTCTTATTAATATCGTCGAATGATGTGTTCCATCTTTTTAGGATTCATGTATCATCCATAAAACAAGCAATAGATACATGCCTGTTAGGATTCAAAAGTTTATTGCAAACTCTTAATAATATTGAATAGATCTGTACAAAGTCCAACATAAGAACTGACAAGAAGCATGAAATTTCATATAATGTTGGGTTCTGGTCATCCACAAATGAACATGAACCTAATTTAAGCCATTACAATAAACTAACCCTGAAGATAATTATATTGAAAATGAAACATGCACATATGGAACTATTTCAATATAATTTTGAGTTTCAGTTCAAGGACATGGTTTTCATTTGACAACGTATATCATTTGCGTACTCATAATCAAATATGAGAAGATTTTCAATCAATATTAGTTTGAAAAATAGCACAAAAAACATTTCTCCATATAAATAGGATGTTTATGCAATGACAACCTTGGCGAACACTTGCTTTACATGGTAAGGTGAAAAAATATACAACCCTCAGAAACTTACAAATCAAGTGAATGGATGGTACTTCTCAGACTTCAGAAAGATTAAGAGTCAAAGTCAGCATTAACAATTTTAAATAATCTCTCCTGTGGATATCCAGAGTTCCTCATGGGTCATGACAATGTTTGCTCATTGATAATGCAACTTATTTTTCATCATTGCAATTAATGGTAAACAACCATAATCTCAGCGCATGGAACCCAATGTGACTTATAGCAAGGAAAACCTTTCAGGGCTGGATACTACTAGACAAAGAGTCTCATAGTACCATCAGGGACAGGAGAAAAACCCTGGTGAGTATAATAGAACAGGAAAATGTGAGCTCCCAAGCAGTGGGAAAAGCAAAAGTCTGTTGATTGTAAAGGTAATCTCTGGTTTTATTCAATAACTAGAGAAATGGCATGATTTGCAGGTGACTGTCTTGGAAGGAAAGCCTATTGCTCATGTCTTTGGTGGTCATAACTTTGTATTTTATGGGTAAAAAAAACTGTGGCCCCTTATTGTCCAGTTCAGAGGATAACGTCCACTATAAGGAGTCGCTTCCAAGAGTGTAGATACTGCTGTATTGGCTAAGTACAATAATGGAAAGGATTTCCAGCCAAGTTTCCTATGGATGAAATAACACATTACAAATGTTAATCTATTATTCATTCACTAGAAAAACAAACATGCAATAGAAGTTATGAATATCACGGAAAAGATATATTCTGGTTTTAATTAACTTACAAATAATTAGAACTCATCATTATGACAAACAATAATGTGCAGTAACATTAAGGCATGGCCAAAAACAGGACCATGCATAATTAAACAATTTACATACCATAAGATCCACGAAATTCTTCCTAGGTTGCCTTCTTCTGGTTCTGAGCACATACGGTACCTCAAAACTGAATCCTCCCACAGATATATGCCTGGTTGAAAAGATTCTTCTTTGGGTTTTACCATCACAAACGGGCTTGATCTGACGTTTTGAAGGGAAATGACTACGTTCAGAAATTTTCACGCATGAATATGATTTAGCAGTACATTCCCTGGTCTCAAGCTCCGAGAGTTCCTCAATATATCGCTTCGTGGGCTTCCGCATCCTTTTGGCAGCACAGTGCTCCATTTGACAATTTTCATCATTCACATCATGATTTGAGGGTGATAATCCAAGTCTTTTACCAGACAATTGTTGGTCTGTCATATTGTTATTCAAGGTGGTTTTAAAATCTTGGGAACTGGCATTTATTAAATGAATGTTCATAGATAAAGATTCAGCTTCATTTTTGGACTGTTGCAATCTTTCAGGTTCTCCTTCTTTTGCCTCACTGAGAATTATTTTGTTGTCTTTGATAGTAAAACTTGTTGACGGAACATGACAGGAATTTGTTAACCCCATTGCTATCCGTCGCTTCAGCCACAATTTATCTTTAACAGAAGTCTGACGCCCAAAGGTAGTTCTAAAAGCTTCCTGAAGCTCCCGGATTGAAAAATTATCCAAGCAAATCTCTCCTCTTAGAATAGAAAAATCAGGGAATAAACTAGTGCAAGACTCAGAAATGGATGATTTACTAGATACTGCCTCGTTTGTGGGACCTGAGCATGTTTCAGCACTTCCTACCTCAAAATCGTGGATGCTATTAAGCTCCAGAGATCTTGGCATTATTTCCCTAGATGTAATCTCAGGTTGGAGCTTGTTATTACAGGCTTTAGAGTTCTTACATCTCTCAGATGCTGGATCCTCTATGGTCATACATTTTGGAGGATGATTAAATGATTCACCCGACAACAATAGCTGCTCTTCCTGTTTAACTTTTTGCAACATCACCTTTATATTCTACAGGATAAGATTAAATACAAAATGAAACAGTATAAAGGAACATAGCTCAGGAGCAAGAATGTCATGCTGACAAAATATAATTAATTGAATTACTAACTAAATATGTAAGATAAAAATGAACAGCTACTAATCATAGACAAGCTAAATTTGTACCCACAGAAAAAAAGACCATTGGACGTCAACTTCAGATGCTTCTACTCTATAGAGGTACTCAATATGAAGTTGACATCATCAAGTTCAAATTATCGGCACATGCCAAGTTTAGGGAAAAAGAGACAGATAAACTGAATAAGGAATTTAATTGCAGTTCAACAGATCCAACCTGAAGTAAATAATGTGCAGATTGTACTAATCTAATCTTCAAAGGTGTTTAAGCATACAACTCTTAATAAGACTTGCTGATGACTTTGATTCCATGATATTTGTAACAATGAATGTAGATCCCTTTCTTACCTTCGACTACATCAGGGACATTTAATACATTGCATAATGTACACCATATGATTGTTTAGGATTAGCAATAGCTAATATTTGAAAAGAAGTGTTAACTATCTTTCTAGCAGACACATCTGTACAGTCGTATATGTATTTTATCCATATGATGATAGATAGGCACACTTAGAATACACGAGTATGTATGTGAAAATATATGTGCATCTAGAAAATATTAGTTCTTCTCATGCACATATTTGCTTGTTTTCAATACAATCTCTACCTGCATAGTTAGGCTGTGCAAGCCCTCATGCCTAAATTTGGCAAAGATAGACATCTGTTTATGTTGCACATTAGATCTGCAGTTCTTTTATATCAATTATAACTGTACTTTAAATGAGATATTTAAATGTGCATTCTGTAAATGGCCTCATTATGTTTCAGGAAGTAACCAAAAAAATATTGTTTTACAAATTTAATGTGGTTATCATAACAAGAGAAATGGTATTGATTTGCTTTCAATATGCTCATATCACCCATCAAATCCTGCACAGTGACTACAATTGTTAAAATAAATTATGATTTGCTTCAACATTTATGCCACATGCATATGAAAGCAAGATTTATCCAACGAACAGTTTCACTTGTATCCCCCCAAATACAACTTAAGTGAAAAGGCAGGGAATCCTGATAATTCCAACAAGCTTGGTCAACATTGCATCAAATAAGATGTTATGCAAAGGATGTTCTAAGACAACAAAAGGCAAGTACAAACTTGGTTCATGTTCTCATGCTTATGATGGATACCAAGAAGGAACATGTACCTCAAGCCTAGCATTCAACTTTTTCGAATCATCAGCATTCCCAGATTGAATGATTCCTGAGACATGGAACTTAGTGAAATATGAACCTTGATAACAGAGAAATTGCATATAATGAGAAACAACATGACTCCAAACATAATGAAAGCTAGAGGTTTGTTTACCTCAAGCAGTATTACAAATTACAACTTGTAAGCTAAGGTAATTATAAAAACATTATTTATTACTATCTGAGAAAATTACTCAATGACCAAAAAGACATCTGATATAGCAAGTAATCCAAGTAAAATAACTAAATATATGATGATCCAAGCTAGTGAACCACATAATCCTATCCCATGTACCACAGACCAAGCTAATTGGCATACCCATGCTGACACCTATACCACACCCAGAATAGCCCATGTTCCAGATAACTTTGTCTACACCAAAAATCAATTATTTAAACTGATAAATTGAGAGAGTATATAATCCTTTTGCACAGATCTCGGTAGAGCAAAATGGAAGAGGACACACTGAAAATTCACAATTTACTAAACTGTTAACTGCAGATGGCTACTACATGATGTAAGTAAAAAAAGAAAAAGTTTGAACAAAACAGTAATCGTACCTACCTTATTTGAAGTCAACTCTCATGCATGAAATATCTGCTAACATATCCAACCATGCTTTTATGTGTAAATTTCAAAATATTGCATGCATCTTACTGGAGAGTAGCAGAGGTAATCATCATCAGGAAAGCCAATTTGCTTACTATTGCCAACTAAATTATAGTTAATTTCTACTGAGAATAGAATATTTATATGTGATGTATTAGCTTAAGTTCTAGTTCATTTGTGACATAAAGTATATGTGATAAAATATTATGCACCCATCAAACATTAAATAAAAAATTGTCAGAACATAAGCCTCCTGCAAGAGTTAAACATAAATTTCTACAAGATAATATTTAACCCACCTTAAGTTGCAACAAGTAAATATTTTATGCAAGCTCAAGCTGAAGATATGGACCACAATACGAAATGATGATCACAGCCAGAGTAGGTTGTTGAAATGCAAATGATTGAATGACAAGAAATTCAAAAGATTTTGTACCCTGATGCATGAGGCTATCAATGCGGGGTTTAGGAAGGGTCAATATATGCAACTTTAGCCCTACAAGTAGAGAGGTCAATTCTGTGACTTGAAACCTTGACAACCAGGCTGCAAAATAGCAAACTTGCGGTGCTGCAAAGGTTTAAATCAAAAGATTTTTTCATGATGAAAGAAAATGCAGGAGTAAGGAAATCAGTAACACGTGGGTCTAGAGTACCCAAGGGAAAACTGAATTGTTTTTTTCTTTACAACAAAAGCAGCATTGTTGCCATGAGCAAGCTACTCTTGATTTGAAAAAGCATTTTACGAAGGGAACAAGGAACAGAGTTAGGAGCCATAAACTATTCTGAAGATCTATTGCCTGCGCAACAGTGATTTTAAAAAGTGTTAGGAGCCAAAAGATGCCAAGGTCCGAAAACGCCCATGGCGCTAGGTGCTCGCCCAATCGAAGCGAGACGTTCTAAAATATTAAAATATAAAAATATATAATATTATTAATCTAATAAATAAAAATTATTTTGTATAGTAATTAATAATCTACTGTTAATAACAGTTAGAAGGGAAGAGTATAATTGTTAAAAGGGATAAAAAATATCACCTAGTGAAACCGACTATCATAAGTCAGAACTTAGAAGAGAAGCAACGGACAACAGCAGCGATAGCGAAGTCACGGACAACAAGAGGCAACGGACAACAGCGGAAGCTGAGGAGACTTGGTCGGTAACAGAGGAAGACTTGGAGGCAACGGGAGAAATCGTCAGCGACGGAGGCAGAGGGAGAAATTGTCGGCGGCGAAGGCAAAGGGAGAAATTATTGGCGGCAGAGGCAGAGGGAGAAAGCGCACGCTAGGGTTGGCAGTTGGGGTCGAGCGCAAGCTTGGAGGTAACTGCGTGCGTTAGTTGGTTCAATCGAACCAACTAACGCACATTTAATTGAACCTGGTTGCCTTATATCAATCGGGTGCTCAACGCTTGGGCTCGAGCGAGAACCCAGGCGACGCCTTATTGAAGCGCACCACCTAGCCCTTATATGAGGCACTCGGGCCTCGCCTCGCCTCGCCTCGCCTGAGCGCTTAGGCGATGACCTGAGCACATTTTTAAATCACTACAGCGTAATATATTAATAATTTTGAAATACATAATGAGGAATCTTTGAACTTTGAACAGGAAGCATTTGCAACTTTTGGTTATTTATATCAGGCTCAAAATTAAATGACTTCATGTGTCCAACTATTAGCAATAGAAGAGATAACAACTCTTTTATTCTTTGTTCAAAATAAGGTAAGGTAGTATGATAACCAACAAAGAGAAAAAAGACGGTGAGAAAAAGTGTCTTCAATTTGGAAAGTAACTGAAGCTGAAGAAGTACCATCATTAAGGAAGAAAAGGACATCTTCATAGGCAAGGAGAAAAATGCAGAGTATGAGGTCCAGCCATAACCAGATACATCTCTCAAGAGCCTAGCATAAAATAGCCCAGAGGCTGATGACAAATAGAGTATAAACTTCACAACAATACCGAACATAAACAAAATGAAAAAAATTTGTTATAGATATATTACAATTGGGAAGAGTAGTTAAAACAGAAAACAAGATGCTATTCAATGACTCAATACCTTCCAAGTCAGACTTGGAGAAAACTTCACCGGAAAGACATCCTTTATCATTCCTGATAGCTTTAACTTCCCTCTTCTCACCTTCAAGCAACTGCTCTACCTCCATAACCTCGTCATCAGTAGCAGGAACTAGCCTTCCATCACCTTCAACCTGATGGAAAGATAACTTATGAGACATATGTCTCAGGATTTAGACACGGCAGATGGATAAGAGCTGGAAGTATCGAGATTCAATCATGAACCATAGGAGCAATTGAAACTGAAAGAAGGGACAAGGGTATAATTATCTTCTCTAAAGATGGTAGTATTATGAATTGTAAATGTAATCAACTTTAACCTTAATCTTTGTCATCTGGATTCAGGTCTATGAAGTCAGACCCAATAAAGCACTAAATTCTGATATAGATGTGGCACTGTCAAGGGTATATACTGATGAAGCTCATGAAGCTAAAGTAAATATTATGGAGTGACGTATTACTAAAGAATTGGTTGCAGTATAATTGATCAAATTGATGTTTTGTGCCTATTATTAAATGAATGGCCATGGTATTAGTGAAAGCACCTATTTTCGCACTAAACTTTCTTACCATCACTAAATTCTATGAAGAACTATGCCAAAAAGAGCATATTAAAAAAAAAAAGGAAAACATACACAACTAAACGAGCTAACTAAATGAGGCTACCAATTACTTGATATTCTCCCCCCACTACCAAGTAATTTTCAGAAAGAGATTACTTCTGCACCTTCAAAATAAGATCAATTTGACCACAAGGCTAAATCAGCATTCAACCTCAAAATCAGTCTCCTCAGATTCCGTGCAGAAACAGTTTTATTCCCATAATAAGATCCACTATATTTTTCACAATGTCTGATAGAAGGCAATCTCAAGATTCTTCAAATATTTTACTGTTCTAAAGATCTATGAAGCAATGATCTTGCTGATCCACATTTCTATGAGCACCTTTCCATGAAATAATCTATATATTACATTAGACATTCCTTTTCTTGAATGGAAGTATAGCTTGCTTAAAAAGAGATAAAGGACCCAGCAGATTGCAAGAAAGCCCATTACTCAATTTTAATTGTCCACCTAAATTGCACTATCACCTGATGTTTTGTCCATTTCAACATAAGAAGATTTGTTTGGATGGATGAGATTGTCAATGTGTTAAAGTCGCAACTGGCAACCATCCATATTCCCTATTGATTCTCCCAATAGAAATTTACAGTATATTGTTCATGCATATTAAGACTTATGTACATATCAGTAATTAATGCTTTAATGAACATGTAGACCACTAAATGAAAGAGCCTTCCTTGTAAATCTCCAATACTCATCCTCAATGAAGATTTCAATTGAAACCACTCAATTATGCAAGTCAATAATATATAATATATATCCACAACACAATACACAATTTAGTATTTCAATATTTCAATTCTATAAGTACAATCAACTAAATGCAACTATTCCTTCTATTTCACAATATAATTATTAACTAAATACATAAACAAGAGCTTCAAATAATCAAAATAAACACTTAGTCACTGACTAAAAATTGTCAGCTAGCAACAAATAATCAACACTATCAATTACCCGAACAAGTTGGTAAACCACGGGCTCTGAATCGCAGGTCTTGTTATCGTTATTCTCTTTGTCACCCTTCTCATCGCTACCCACCGTATCAATGACGGTTCCAACTGAATGCTCCATTACATGCAACTCAGCTCAACAATTGCTGACAACCAAAAACGGGAAAAAAAAAAGAGGCTCTATGAGACCTAATAAACAACTTATATGAAACTTTAAAATTAAAAAAAAACCCACAAAAATTACAGAAAAAACAACGCAGCGGACTTGATCTCCAAGCATCATTTAAATTAGCTTCACCAAGCCAAAGAACCAAACCCTAATCACCAATTCTGATGGAAAACTACAATCAACTAGCACCAAACTTAAGAAATCACTTGCAAAGCCGAAATCTTGCATGTTGAGATGAAAATCGCCATAAATCCCCAGAAAAAGATGGCGTAAGAGACAAGAAAAGTAAAGATGTTGACTGAAATCGTATTAGAACTAACAAATTGGAAGCGGAGGCGGTTCGATTATAGCACAGGGACCCAACAATTGTAGATCGAGAACAAGGGAAAGAAAGGAACTGAGGAAGGCAAAGGAAAGAAGGGGGAAAGACAAGGGGATTCGAATGGAACGGATAGAGACGAGAGGGGGATGAGCTGGGGGCGCTTCACACACAAGAGGGGGCGGGGGACGAACTATTTACCGTCGGGACCACGCGATTGAACGGTGATTAGAGCGGATACGGAAGACTTCAACGGCTGTGATGGACAGACGGGACTCTTTGCGGAGAGAAGGATGCAACCGGAACTGTCCTAATCGAGAGGAAATATGGTGGGTGAGAGTGCTGTGTGCATAAACCGTTTCTGCTAGCCTTGCATGGATGAGACGGTAAGAATGATATCTTATTTATTCTTCGTCGATCCATCCAATAATTTGATAAATTCTTTAAAATAATTTATATTTTTATTATTTCTGATAGAGTCTCCTTTTTACTTTATTTTCATATAACGTCCTTTTGTGATCATCTTTATCAATTTAGTCCTTTTATCTTCATTTGTCGTGATCGTCTCTTATCCCGTCGCTCATCACTTTTGCTTCATCGTCTCTATCATATCGTCTCCATTCCTACGATCGCTTTCTCTGTCGTGTCCTTGCAAACTAGCCCAATTCTAATTGCGACGAGACCCATAGATCCCTATCTTTTTTTTTTTTTTTCCGATCCAGTATCAAATAGAAGATAGTATATGAGCTAACGCTGCTTCATTAGTAACCTCCTCCCATCGCTAGTATCACCCTCATCCCACTTGACTTCTTCCTCTTCACCTTTCTCCTCCTCCCTTTACAATACTCTTGACATCTCTCCTCGCACCGATAGTTAGAAGATCAAGGCCACATATTGTCACATAGGGCTCAAGCACCATGTAGATGTTGTTGCGAACGACCACAAGACACTTTCATCAACAAGTTCATGCCAATCCATGTTACCTATGCTAGCCTATTCGGCGAGGCTAAACTTCGATTAATCAAGATGTAGTTGGTGTTAGTGATAGGAGGAGGCTTCTAGTGAAGCAATAAGGTTGGTGAGGTAGCATGATGTTTGCATGGACATCACGATCATAAGATATAAAGACAAATGGGGGGTCTCATCACGAGATAGAAGTGACTATAGTAAAGCAAAAAATAATGAGAGACAAAATAGGCCACGATAGTACTAAGGGTAATCTCATCTTTTAAACAATAATAAGTGCTCTAGGAGAATAAAACTAAAAGGACATAAAACTTACATATATATTTTAAATTTATCCTAATAAATTTATTATGATGATTTTGTTCAAATAACAAAAAAGAAAAAAATATTGAGATATAAGCCCACCTAGCAGGTACACTAAGCAACGTCTTTTTTTTTAGTTATAACTTGACTGACGTCTTTTTTGAGATGGATGGCAAAATCCATCATTGTAAGATCTTAGATCTTAGGATGGAATCCAACCATAGCTGTATTGTTTCACTTGAAGGGAACCTTTGGGCACTTAAAATGGATTTGGCTGAGATGTCAGTCCGCAGATGCTGCTAAGCCCATCAAAGCAGCGTTACACTCTTTCATCCATACATGAAAAATGTAGTGCCAACGATCATTGCTGTAACACCCAATCTTACAGTAAACGTTTCAGCATGTTTACATACTCTGCTTTCGTTAAGTTGCTAGTGCATTCTTACAGACTAGGCTTATGTCAATACTTACCACTAGGGAATTTTAGTTTCTTCGAACAGTGTAATTACCATATAAGCTCCTTTTGGTATTCACAAGATGCAGTAAAAACACAAAAGAAGGTGAGGAAGTGAAACATATTTCCCTGCTGTTTGTGGCTAGATCCACAAAAGCGGAAGAAAGACTGTAAGACGATCTTCTTCGTTACTCTTTTGATGAACATCCCGTGCTCGAGGGTCAAATTTTGCATCCCCTGGTTGGGCCACTTTCCTCCGCAAATAATGTTTTTGATGAAGGGAGTTCTTAGGGGGCGGTGTCCTTGCATCAGTGGATATACATCTTCAAGGAAATAATATGCATGACCTGCTATCATACCCTACACTCAAGACGATAAAATTTGTTCAGCACAAGAAGAAAATTAATTAGTAAAACAAGAAATAACTGAATCATCATGCCACTTAAGCACCAAACTCATGGTACAGCCACAAACAAAGAGAATGGTATTGCAAAAGCATGGCACATAACAGTTCAAAATCAATAATAATTAGAACGAGCAAAACTGACAGTACATCAAGAATGGAAAACAATGAAGAAATGCAATGAGGAGTGAACAGCCCATCTGAAATTCTCAATGACTAATGGGACCAGGCACTACCATAAGACCATGGTTAATCAATTGGAAACTAAGGAGAAGTTGGTGCATCGCCTTTCTTTTTCAAGAAAATTAACACAGGCAAACAAACTTTTTCTATCATCATTGTAGAGCTTCCTAAATGTTAGAGCTTCCTAAATTAACATTGTTGAATCTTGGATTTTAATGATGAAACTAATTGATTGTGTTTAGATGTTTAACTGCATTTTGAGTGATGCAGGTCTACTCGATCAGGATTAGACAGTTGACGCAGGAGGAATTGACGTTGCACTGGAGGAAATCACGTCAGGATATTGGACGGTAGAAGGCTTCGGATGTCGGGCATCGGGCCAAGGAGAGCGGAATTACGACAAGGATATCGGGGTTGCGGAGGTCAACCGTCGATTGAGCAACAAGCCGCAAGAGAGGACGATGCGCTAAAGAATCGGACGAAGCGCCAACCAATGATGTACCGGGCAACAGAATGTCAATTCGCGTTATAATAATTGTCTAGATCGGAGTAGAGTTTTGGCTTGTGTGTGCAGGATTAACTACGATAACGATGAAGACATAAAGCGAAACAAAGTGTCGGAGTCAAGTTCGATGGACGTTTGAGAGTCCGAAGATTCGTTGGGAGTATTGTCGGAACTAGCCGAGAATGAGTAGGGAGCTTGCCGAAGGGTTTTCGGAAGCTCGCCGGAAGGTACGTCGGAAGTTCGTGGAGCTCACCGAGAAAGATCGTAGCTTGCCGAAGAAGCTCGTCGGAACTCGCCAAGATCAAATCGTGAAGTCTAGGAGCTTACCGGGAGTCCGCAGAATGGTTTCCGAGAGTTTATCGGAAAACCGCCGGAAGTTCGCCGGAGGAAGTCTTGACTTGCGAACTTTGTAATAGCTTAGGAAATGTCTTTAAATTCATAGTTAGCACATTAATTAAGATTAGGATTAGGTGTTTAATCTTATAACCAAAGTAGGGGCCAATTGGGCCTGAGTTCAGACTGGTTTGGGCCAAGTTTGGAGCCCAACCAGTGAGCTGAAATAGTGTAGGCGGTGGCACCGCCCAGAACCCGAGAACCGAGCGGTGCCACCGCCCAGCACCTGAGAGGTCCGGACTAGGCGGTGCCACCGCCAGTACACTGTCAGTGTCAGACACTGATAGGCGATGGCACCGCCAGCCTCGAAAACCCAAGAGAATTCAAAATTTGGAGCCCAAATTTGAATCCTCTTAGGGCCTATAAATACCCCTCAATTCTCAGCAGAGAAGGCAACCTTTGAGAAGTTAGAGATTGAGATAAAGCCTTAAAAAAGTCTTTAACAAGTCTTGTTTTCAATAGTTTAAGTGTTCACCTTCCGTATTCTCTTTAAAAATCTGTAAGAGTGTGAACCACTTGTAAAAAGTTGTAAGAGGGGTATTTGTCCTTCTCCTTCAAAGTGATTTGCTAGTGGAAGTTGGGAGCCTCATCGAAGAAGGTTTCGCAAGTGAATGTAGGTCATTTGACCGAACCACTATAAAATTGGCGTGTTCTCTGGTTTGCATTTACTTATTGCTATTTACCTTACTGCAAACCTTCATACGTGCTTTACTTCCTCATTACTTTTGCTGCACACCTTTACGAACACGCTTTCAAGTTAAGCACTTCCGAGTTCGGTTTTTATCGTACGAAAGATTTTCCAAAATCGACGTTTTAATCCGCTGCACTAATTCACCCCCCCCCCCCCCCCCTCTTAGTGCCGCTCCGATCCTAACAAACATGTGGCCCTTCTAGAGTAAGATAAGAAATTAGGACTTCAAAGTTGCAAACTACTAAAAATACCATTGTACCAAACTTTGAGATGTTTGTTATGTTAAGCCTCATGTGTTAGATAGTATAATCTGTAATGATAGTACAATATTTAATGATTGTCAATTGGTTCAATTGAACTAGGTGTTAGTTGGTTCAACCATAGTAAACAAACCCCTCCCCTCGTACGACCCACGCACGTACAGTAAAACCCATGCCATAGTAAAACCCTAACTACTGTTGCTGCCCTCAACATAGCTCTCTCTGTCACCGACGGATAGGTCCAACTCTTCCAATGCAGTTGACAGACAAATCCGAAGCTCCCACCAATGTAGCTCTCGTGCACAGTTCCCTTTGCTGTCGCTGCTTTCGTGTGCAGCTCACTCTGCCACCAAGGGATAGGTTCGCAGCTTTCTCCACCACCGACGAACACATTTGAAGCTTCCTTTGTCCTTGACCTCGTCGTCCGTAGCTTTTTACGCCGCTACTATCATCATATGTAGCTTTCTTTACCATTGCTATCGCCATTAGTAGCTTTCTCTATTGTTGCCGTCGTCGTCCATAGCTTTCTTCGCTATCGCTACTGCTATCTGTAGCTTTCTCCACCACTGCTACTGCCGTCCAAATGTTCCTCTATCACCGCCACCCTCCCCTTCCCCACCTTCCACCGTCGGTGACTCCTCTTTGTACTACTGGACATTGTTAGAACTGTTAACCCTATTAATCCTTTAAAACTAAATTAATCCTTAGAGCTATTATCCCTATTTAGCATTATTAATCTATATTTATTTAGAACTATTATTAGAAATATTATTAATCCTAATTTAATGTCATATTTTTATTTTTATAATCATATTATATATATTTTTATATTTTAATATTCTAGAATGCCTCGTTTCGCTCGGGCAGATGCCTAGGCAAGCACCTAACACCTCGGGCGTTTTGAAACCTTGACGCCTTTTGACACCTAATGCTTTTAAAAATACTATTTGATCATTAGTTACTAGTTACTATAATATCTTTTTCATGGGGATTTTTTTGACTGATATTTACTAAGTTAAAAGAAAGCAGGCACAAGCCACACAACTTTGCTGTCATGGCACACAAATAACTTAAAAAAGAAAAGAAAGCTAAAACAAGAAAATAATTTTTTTTAAGTAATAAAACACCCAATCAGCTTCGCACTTTCTTCCTCCTGTCTGATAGTTCTAGATTACATAGTTCATGATCGTTAAGGATTAGAAAAGTTATAGCTTCTGTCCTTCTATCAAAGCCCTGGTTTCCTTCAATCAACCATTTGGTTTCTTTTTTCTTTTTCACTCTTACTTCTATTGTCTCACTGAAATCTACCATTTCCTTTATTTGTCTATGCTTCTCTGCTAATTTTATTTGTGTTGTTACCGAGGAATGTGAAAAAAACACAATATAAGATTTCTTCTGTTTTCAGTTTAACTTATTCTCAGCCATCCATGATGGTCATGACACTTCTCTTATGGCAATGGATAACAATGATTACAGTTTAATCAAAATTGACTGTAATGTATAACCAAATCCTAGACCATACCATCTACCTGAAAGCATGATCAAAATCAGATTCGGTAGATGAGACATTTCACATTCTTCTACAAGAAACTAAACCACATACATATTGCAATAACATACACCAAGGTTTTAATCCAGAAGACACTCTCAGGCATTTGGATCAATCATAAATGGTGATAGGACATATTCTAGCATCTCTCCCGCAACCGCAGTCAATCGCCACATTAGAGCCGACGTGGCGCCTCTGAGCTGACATGGCGTGCGCGCCAACGTGACACCTCGGACCCGTATGAGACAATCACCTGCACCCGCGCTGTTAGCATAGACCCGTACGAGACAGCTGATTGCGCCCGCGCCGCCCGAGGCTGTGCGAGATGACGCCACATAGTATGGAGCCGCTCGAGAACACGCGAAGCAATGCTGCGTGGTACAGAGCTGTGCAAGTTGGTTAGCGCTGTGCGGAGTGTTCGAGCCGATCACCCAAGGTGTTGGCGGCCATTAACGGACTACATACGACTGACCCTCGATTGTGGGTATAAAAATCGACCTCTTGGCCAACGCCTAAGCACCTCCATACTGACTTAAGCTTCGGAGGGATCGAGTCAGGAATCCCCCTCCCGACTTCGGCCTATGTGCAGGAACCCAATGCGGAAGGAAGGACGAAACGACTCCCGACTCTACCTTGGGGGGACTTGTCAGACAGTGCCCCAACCCGACCTAACGTTGATCCTCTCCCGTCGGGAAGCCACGTGGATAGCCTTGCGCACTCGGATTGGACCAAGCCGCGTTGACATCTCAGCACTTGTATTGCAACAAATGAAAAAAAAAAAAAAACACTTGTATTGCAACCAACATGACCATCGATTTCAGCAACAGAAATGTCACTTCGAAGGATGCAAAATAATGTATGCTATCAATACATATATGATTAGATGACCGCAAGCTTTAGACCAACCCATTTTCCAAAGTACAGGAAGTTTGTAACGAGGCGCCATATCTCATACTGTTGAACTATGAGTTTTGGTTTCAGACGCAACCTATAGGGCGATATGATCTGGAAAATCCGAAAAAAGACAAGTTTTCTCTCGCCTTGACGAGTTCAAGACATAGCACAAATCTATCATTGCATCGCAGTTAATGACGAGAGGTCGAAGGATTAAATTACTAAGAAGAAATCATACCGCTCGCAATCCTAACCATATATCTAATCCAAGAACGCCACTAAAAGACAAAGACAATAAAGAATTCGCACCTCGAGGGATCACGCGACGGCGGTGACGATCGCGGTGGTGAGATACGACCGCGTGACGATGGGCATCTGCTTGTACCACTCCTCCACCGCTTGGAGCCATCGTTCGAGGCCTCAGAACGCAACCCCCCTCCCCCAACCACATTATCCCGGAAACACAAGAAGGGGAAACCCTAGCCCTACCACAGGCTAAACCGAAGCAATCGATCGATAGACGACGGGGGTATTTAAATCATTCGAAAAGCAATTTGCTTTACCTACGACACCCATTGGGGCATTTAAGTCATTTTACTAAAGTTAGGGTTCGTCGCCGTCCACTCCCTATATATTGAGTAGGAGGCCAACACCCTCTCGCCACGGTCTCTTCTTCGTTGGCTTCGCCGTCTCCTCCAAAGTCCGACCTTCAATCTACTACTTGACATGGATTCTCTCGTTCATGCGCTCACTTGTAGCGCTGATGAGTGGGCCAGTGATAAGAAACAAGATCAATTGTCTGTACCATCTGAGATCCGGTAACGTCGCCGTCTCTCTGATGCTATCTAGCTTCTGAGGCCTCCCTATTTCGCTTTTCTACTTTATCTTCCTACCTTATTTTGATTCTACATGTTATGTAAGCAGTAATGGCCTTTGGGCGGTGATGAGCCAGAAAAAAGATACCATCAAACTCAGAAGAAGATAACGATGTCGATATCATCTACTAGCCTCTGAGCCAGCCATTTCTTTGTCTTTTTTATTTTTCTCTCTTCTTTGGACTTTCGTAGAAAAAAAAAAGAATGATTTTTATTGGTTTTTGTTTGATTTCTTTCGATCGGAGATGGAATCGGATCGAAAGTGGAGGCAACAAATTAGAGTCTCTGATGCGCTTCTTTTAATAGCGTCGTCAGCGCTGTACGTTGCCGAGAACGAGGCAAGGCTGAGATTCTGGCATATGCCATTCGTATTATTTGGCTTATGCATTCAGATGCTCGACATCTCGAAATCTGGTTTTATGTGATTACTTTGAGAATAATCGTCGTCAAACGTATACTTAAGTTGGAATATATTATGTCTAATTGTCACAATATTGTATGCGTTTCTTTTTGGTCTTTGTGAGAGATTTGTTCGTTCTTTTTAGTCTTTGTGATAAAATTCATTTATGTCATTTATAGATTTTGTGGAAATCTTGGGGTAGTAACTAAGTAGGTAGTAGCTTCAGTTTATGTGCGATCAACTTGTCTGGGTGTCTGGCCTCACCAACAATGTCGATTGAAGGTTGCAGTGTGGCTCATATGGAATTGGTTTGTTTTTTGATTCACCTGGGGAAACATTACTACAATGGTCGAGCTTTCATAAGATCAGCTAAAATCTTTTGAAGAAGGATTTTAGGCATAAAGGAACCCAAGAAAGATCTTAACTTTTAATGTTCAACAAAGTCATTAAGCAATTCTATTGTCTATTTTGAGTGCAGCATTTCAAGGGATCTTAAATCACAGAATATGGACATGCTAACTTTTGCAACCTTGTAAGTCAATAATTCCTATTGCATGAGGACCCATGAAAGGCTCTGTGATTTGTATGAGTTCATTATTTGAATTACAAGGCATTTGCTTTCCACATGATCAGGCAGTCATTAAAAAAGATACTTCAATTGGATCAAGATAATAACCTCTGTATTGGTGCCATACCTGTTTTGTAGTTATAGATCTCCATGTTCTCTTTTCACAATGCCTGATCAAATGCTGAAAAGTATGGATTACCACCTACATATGAAGCAGTGTAATATCTGCATGACTGAATGCAATTGTTTTATTCTTTAAAAGAAAAAGAAGTGAGAAAAAACCTTGGGAATACAAAGTCCAGTCAATGACATAATGTGAATACAAGTAGCCATTGTCAAGGGCATGCATCACATGTAACCTTCATGTCAACTATTGAACTGTTCTTGATGAAGTTTCAGGAGCTTTCTACTTGGTTGCTGTCATTAAATTAACTTTGACATGCAAAAGCATGAAGTTTTCTTTGATCTGATTGAAGAACAATTCGATGGTGAAGTAAGCGAGGCTCTCTTCTGGCGGTTGATCCAATCTTTGTGCTAAATGCCATAAGCAGCTGCTATAGACAAATACAAGTACTAAGAAGTGGTAACTGTTTTGCAGCAAGCATAAGTGTTTTCACAGAAGACTACATCTAACCTCATGTCAGAACTGAAGCGCAGTAATATTAAATTAAATTAGCTGATACCATTTTATGGCTTTTGTACCAATTGCACTATGATAAATGCTCAGTTCCTGTATCTAATTTTTTGGGTACGTTCTTAGTGTAATCTTTTGAGAGAATATATTCATTCATTCTTAGTGTTTGAACAAACGGAGGCTTGACATGTAATAAAAGCAAATATGCATTCCAATATGCTTGTGAACTTTTAATCTCTGAGCCATACACTCTTTTGTATTATCTACTTATATTTATAAGCATGGATGAATCGCAAAACTGTTATGTTTTATTGTTTGAATTCCTTGTTCTAATTCTGAACATAATTTCATTGCTGATCATATGGAAGTGTTATTATGTTTTTGCTGTCTTTTTCCCAACTATTTATCTTTTGTGTTGTGGTTTCTAATAAACAGTGGTATTTGAGAATACCATATGGTGAATGAAAGATTTTTTGTTGGTATTTGTAAGCTTTATTTTGTGATGAACTTGAAATTATGATATCGAAGTACTTTGTTTATCGAATTAGAAAACATGATTTGCTAACAACAATATGTAAATATTAATCTGATACTGCTTTTTAAATAGCAATGTCAGTGGTAGAATAGATTTGATCACTCCTATCCTTGAAGACTAGTTGACCTGTTTTCAATAGCAAGCAATCGGAGATGAACATAAGCATTGCATTCATTATTAGAGTTCAAGCACCAAGAACCATCAGCTAAAGATCAATCCGCAGTGAGGAAAGCTGCCACAGCCTGCAACTTGGCCAACGCTTTGTCGCTCTTGGGGCTTAGGAGATGGAACACATGCTGCTCTCCCTCCGTCTCCAACAGCCGAGCCTCCCCTTCCCACCCACTCCGCTTCAGCGCCGCGTAGTACGCCTGCCCCCGGCACCGCAGCAGGTCCTTCTCCGCCACCGTCACCAGCACGCGCGAGCAAGGTAGCCTCGCCAAGCTCGGCGCTCCCTCCGCAAGCGGATTTATCCATGGGGCGTCCAGCCCCGCCGTCCCGGGCCGCACGAACGCCCATATCCGCCCCACCCACTCCCTCGCATTCGGGTCCCGGCTCTCCGACTCCAGCGGCTCAGCCCCCCAGAAGAAGGGGTGGATCAGCACCAGCCCTCTGATGGCGGCTCCGCCTCCCAGTCCCTCATCCGCCGCCCGCACGGCCATCTGGTGCACTATGTTGGCTCCCGCGCTGTCCCCGGCCAAGAACACGCGCCCCAGGTCCCCCCGCTCCGATAGCCACGCCTCCTCCGCTGGCCGCGACGCCACCCACCGGAGAGCCGCCCACGAGTCGTCGTACGCGGCCGGGAGCGGGTGCTCCGGCGCGCGGCGGTATTCCACGGACACCGCCACCACGCCGGCTGCGGCCACGAGGGAGTTGAGGTAGTTGTGGTACGTCGGGGAGAAGGCGGTCTCGATGACGAAGCCGCCCCCGTGGTAGTAGACGAGGACGGGGAGCTTCCTCTCGGAGGAGCTACCGGCGAGGTCCGGTAGGTAGAGGCGCAGAGTCAGGTTGGTGGCTGGGTCAACGATGACGTCCTTGGATGCGACGCCGGTGGCAGGGTCGACCCCGGCAGGAAGCACGTCGTTGCCGAGGAACCGCTCGACGCGGCCGCTCTTGTAGACGCGAGCGAGAAAGGGCACTTCGATCACGACTTCGGCGTCGGCGGCGTCCATGACTCGAAGCTACGGTCTGGAGACTGGCTATTGTGGATGTGCAGATCTACTCGGTTGCGAAGACAGGTGGCTTATCCCTTGAGCCACCTGCGGCTCACGTGAGACATGGATGTTGTTTTGACAGACATATCCCCATTGATTAATATATCATTAAATAAATAATAGATCCCAAATTCGAATTTATATATGAACATAATATATATATATATAATATTTGATGCAATAATTTGTATTAAAATGTTTTGAAACTCGTGAAATTTATAGATAACATAATGCGTACAAATATAGTTGAAGGGAAAGAAACAAAACCAGCGCACAACACCAAAGTTAATTAGCATTCTTGTACATCCAAAAAGTTGGCTAACTCAAACATCACCAACCACAGTCGAACGACCAAACCCCCTAAGGTAGCAAGACAACAAACACACTGAAAACAGCTGGTATACATTCTTTATACATGCTAGAAATCTGTTTCTCCTCCTCTATTTCATGACTTGATTTGTGTCCCAAAGCAGTGAACTTCGATTTAGCAGCGGAGATTCGGGTTCTGAACCACTGACGGACGTGAGCGTGGACATGGAGTCATCCTTTGGTATGGCGACAAAGTTCAATGGCGTGGCAGACAGCCGCCTCGTCTCTTTGAAGTACCCATTATGGCGGCCAGAAGAATACGAGCGCGGGGTGAGAAGCTCCGGGGTTGCACCTCCGGCAGATAGCCGTCGTGGTGCCGGCGTCATGAACCCATTCACCTGATACCCGCTTGGCTTTCTACCGAGACTGTTACTCCTCTTAGCCACTGATTTGGCACCAAACGATGCTTCCTTCTCCGTGAGTAGCAGAGAGTGTAGCTTCTTTTGATCCTGCAACAAAAACTGCTTGCTCATATGAGGTCAATGGAAGATGTATTCTAGTTTATTAAGCGACAGATACCCGAAGCCTCCTTTTCTCTTCTTCTTTGTGTTGTCTGGTAAGTTTATGCTCCTCGAGAATAGATACTAAGCGAACCTGGAATTTGGGAATAGCATCAATCAATGAAGAAAGAGCCAGAGAACAAACAAGAAAAAGATTGAAACTCTAAACTCACCCCATCGTACAGAAAAATTTTATTTCTGTCATCTTCCCAGGCAAAAGTTCTACTTATAAGATTGTCCACCATAGCTGAAAAAGAATTTATTTCTTCGGTCAGGTATATAGTATAGAAGGTTAGTATGATGCAGGATTTGAGATGCTTAGTACCTGGGATTTTGCTGATACTGATCCGTGCCTTCTCTGCACGTCTGAGGTTTATATGCCCTCCTCTTCCAGCATTGTACCTGTTTTGATCCTGCATCCAAGTAGGAAAAAACACCTCTTAAATTTTTGACCAATACCATTGCATTGGAGAGCTTAAGCCGGTACTTGAGACAATCTCTCTGGTCACACAGTGTGGAAAACAAGACCTTCCGTTCTGATATCATATTAAATTTTTGCGGAATTAGTAGGATATTACATGATCTTATTTAACATTTTTAACATTATTAACATATAGCAAATCAACAGAAGCGAAGATTCAGCCTGACAACCGATTAAGAGTATGTGTATCTATGACGTTGGTAATTCATGATAGTGGCGGTTAGGAGAAGTCACAACAATGTAAATTATTCCACATATTATCTGCATAAATCTAAAGTGAACCGTCTTATGAAGCATAGCTACCTGGCTGTATTCTTCAAGCCAATTTTCTTCCTCACAAGCAGCAAGCCATTTGCTTATTCTATCCATGATGTCTTTCCTGCTTATAGATTCTTCTTTTGCCTTCACTATCTGTGCCTCAATATTGGCCAAAAGTTCAGAAGGATCTACAAGCCCTGCAGCGCAAATAATATCTGATAATGTAAGACCCTAATAAACCTTCTCTAAAAATCATGACAAAGAAAAGAATTGTCAGAGTGGTCTCAATTTTCATTAATAAAGAATAAAAGACAAACCAGAGTCGATCAATGCAGTGATTTTCTCTGTTGCTGTGTTTGCATCGGGTTCAGTATGTGCTCTTCTACATTCCTCTTCCAGTTCTACCCGTCTCTTTAGAACAAGTTGTTTCATTCTGCTGGCTTTTAATTTAGACAGCCTACAAACTTCGGATTCTATCTGTCAAACACAAGATGCAGATGTAACAAAGCTAGTTCAACTGTTCTGGGGATAACAAGGGAACTCTAATTAGTACTAATTACCAGACCTTCTCGATTGTTTCATGTGAGAGTAAACCAATGTGAGTGATTTCATCTTCCGGTGACTCGAGGATGTGTGCTAACTTTTCAAAATGCTCCCTTTCTTCTTGTGATGAATCCATTAACTTCCATAGTTCAAATAACGAATCCATTGTTTCTTGCAACTACAGATAAAAAACTGTAATGATATTAAGTACAGGAACCAAAAAGAACAAAGAAAGGTGACAGGAAATAATTTCTTGTTACCTTCTGAATTTGAATCTTCTTTTCTGCTTTCAGCTTCAGGATTGCTTGAGCTAGACCTTCTAGGGTGTTGTTGCTAACATTTGTAGATTGCTCAGGATGAGCATCATGCAAACTGGGGTGAACTTCATCTAATGTTTTCCTAAAATCCAGCCCAAGTACGCCGCATAAAGAGTGAACCTCACTTACATACTCCAGAACCTTTTGAAGGCGATCAGACTTGAACATAGACAATTGTTGGTGATTAGTAGTACATTTGATGCATAAATAGATCAACAGTCATCATGCACATGACAATCATGAAATGCAGAATTCGCTAATGACAAGGTACACATATAATTCTCATCTTGAACTTGTAAAGGAGTATGAGAAGAACAACTTTGGAGTAAGGAAGTAATGCCAAGTACTGAATAATCAATAGATCATGAGAGAAGAAAATGTGAAATTTTGATTCTGGACCAACAAACTTGATTTTTTTCTTTTTAGGTGCAAAATTTTGGTTGGAAAATCTTCCATTGGGAACCTTCACAGATATGAAGGCAAATTCGTCACTATTTGAATGCTATAGGAGAACATAGTGTCATATTGGACATAAGATACATATCAAGTTGCACAAAATCCTTAAAATGTTGATTTGCCAAAGTTTGGAAAATGTTAGGCATCAAAGTTGTCCTGTTACCTATGGTTTTATTCGAATCTCTCTGAGTACGCTGTCAACATATCAATTTGAGCCTTTCTGCTCAAATTCAAATTCTGACTTGTAAAGACTCAAGCTGTATTACGACTCACATACAATTGTGTGCCACATGATTTTCAAATGAAATACTTACTTGAATATTTAGTTAATTGCAGTTTTATCACTAATAGATTATTTCATCTAATCTCTTCCACTTTTGAATAGGACATGAAGTTCAAGTTATCTCTGCAACTCACAAGTCTGTTGTAGTGATGTCAATGACTGAAATACTATAAGCGGTTGCAAAAGTTCCCATATCAAAGTTCAAAAACAAACATTCAATATTAAATTCAATTGATCTTCATATCAGAAAACAAATACCTTCTCCTTCTGGAGGGCACGAAGTTGTGCACGGTATTCATCAAGCTTCCTCGTTGAGAGGTCATGTTCATCCATAACAACAGGACCTTCCATGGTATCATGCTGATGTGCATATTCCCTAATCTCAACACTGATCTTCTCAATCTGCAATAATACATCAGCAAATTTTTTGACCCTTTCCTCTTTCTTTGTTCTCAGATGTTCCAACGTATTTGCGACTAAATTGTGTTGTTCCTTTATCGACACTGGTTTGTTGTCTTTCTGTATTCAGAAGGTCATAATATAATTGACATGTTAGTAAACTAGTCATACACGATATTAACACAATTTTCAAAAATTTAGAATCATGCTATATATTACGCAACAGAAATTCCTTGCACGCAATAGCTGAAGGGCTATGGTCGAAAAGGTGAATAAAATGATCCAGTGATGGTGAAAATTTCTTATAAAACAATAGCACCTTTATCATGCCAATTCTGAATGTTTCAAAGTTTGGAACACTAGAAGCCAACACAAACAAAATATTCTATTTGATCTCCATACAGAATCCAGAGAACATTCTTTCCAGTTTTATCAAGATTTACGACATCCAAATTATGCAAACTAAAATCCCTGGTTTGTCTAATTCCATAGACATGCCTCATTAACCGAGTGGTAACTTTCACAATATTGGAGGAGAAACAGGATTAGATAGTTTAATTTACAATGTTAGCATTCGATCTACCAGTACTCCAATTAAGGACTTTGAAGTTTGAACTACGAGTTTGATTAGAATCAAGTGTTCATATGTGTGCATGATGAAGCTTAGCATCAGTAATTTGATCACAAATAGCATCTAAACTATTTATAGTCTGTGTTAGTTGAACTCATATAATTACAAATAGCACCGAAACCACACACAAATTTGCATACCGAAATGTACCTTTGCATGGACTGTATGTTCCCCGAGGCAGGCCGCAAGAGCTGCAATCTCTGCTTCCTTTGCAACGACAGACTGATGTAGATGTGCCTTAGCCTTGCTGGCCTCATCAACCTTTCTCTGATATATGTCCAAGCATTCTCTTTCTATTTCTAACAACATTCGTTCTTTTTCTGCCTCACTCTCCCCGATCTCTTCCCAAATTTGCTGCTCTCTTGCAAAAAGGAAAGCAGAATGTAAGATCATATCATAAGTACTGCAGATTGAAGTGGTTTTCCCCAACAAACATTTACTTTCAACCCAAGAAAACAAAAAGAATAATCTACATAATTCATCCAAGTCTTCAGCCAGGTTTACCATAGAAAGATGAAATTATCTGATGTTTGATTAGAATAGCTCATTAGCAAACTAAAATTTATTTAGAACTTCACATATTACTCCAAACTAGAAATTCTAGAAACATGATACTTCAAGATTTCACCTCTAATTATAGAAACAAAGAACAAGAGAACACCCAAAACACAAACCCATGTCTCATTTTTCATCCATATACACAGAAAGACAAGAAGAAACAACCTGAAGCTCTTTAAGCAACCCACCGCAGCTTCTCCCCATTCCAACCGAAACCCCCACCGTTCCCTCTCTTTCCTCGAGGCCAAAGCATACAACAGTAGAAAGAGAAGGAGAAGAAGGGAGAAGATCCATTGTTTCTTCTCTCAGACCTTTAGAAAAGAGAAACTAAGACCCAAAAGGTGAAAGAAAGGGGTAGATAGCATTCTTTTTTCTTTGGAGTCCCTATTTCTTACATCACCACTACTTGGGATGACAGAAAGACTGAGAGCTCATGAGAATCTTAACGAAGAAAAAGCCTCCATTGGATCTTTGCACGAAGCGTGAGGAAAGAAAGGGAAGATATTGGAAGGAACTATGCTGCTGCCAAAGTAAAGTTAGCACACCATGTTACAGGTACATGGAGAGGAGAACCAAAAGGAAAATTGGTGTTCAGAACAGGAGAACCAAAGATTTTGGAAGTGGATAGAGAAGAGTTACAGTGTACTGCTGCACAGAGGAAGCAACGAAAGGAGAGTCATGAGTGACAAGGACAAAGGAGGGAGCAGACATGATTATTGTTATTGCTCCCATAAGAGCTTTTAATGGCAGAAAGCAGACCAAGGTGAAAGAGAATGGAAACTGATGGAAGTTTTTGCGGCAGGTGGGTAAAGATACTCCTTGGTACCAGAGGAAAGCAGGGAAGGTCTTGTCATCACTCTCTGTAACTCCTCAAATGAGATCTATATAATTAAAAATGAGAGTGGTGTATCCTTTTCTTGGATCACAATAAATGATGTTTATGGACAACTTCATGCATGTAGTTGCTGTGATCGGACCAGTTTGGGTTGGATTGCAAGATGCACCAAGTTGAAGTCAACTATTGAAGTGAGAGAGAGTAGGAAAGTAGATTTCCTTTTGACTTTGGGTCAAAATGAAAGTAAATAGGAAATCAGGAAGACAAAGGACAGAGTAACAGTGAACATGTCCTGCTGAGTTGGCAAAACATGTCCTTTGTTGCCAGTAAGTAAATCCTTTGTTGTGTATTGAAGAAGCACATTTTGGTAGGACTTTTATGAAATATTTCATCCAATCACAGACACTTTGTTGCTCAAGTCAATTGCTCTTGAAGCTGGAGCTGCTTGCACAACAAGGTTTCAAAGAAGAAGATGAAGTTGAATGATATTTATGACAACCATATCTAAATGCATACAATAGAGAACATAAAAATATGACTCATACCTACAAAAAGTTGGCATTAATGATGCTGCTATATCACACACATTTACTCTTCTTAGCCTCAGGTGACCTCTACAAACTTACCTCCAGGGATACCAAGTTCACTTCACCCTTGTGACCCAGGAAATCAACATTCATTTCTCTCTCTTTTTTCTTCCTATTCTTTCCAAAATTATGAAGTTGCTTTGGGTGAGTGATGCACCATATTGAATGAAGAACGAGTTTCCAAATGGATACAGGTAGAAATGGGTGACATGTTTAGCCCACTCAACGATGGCCAATTGTGGTGCATTAAGTAGGACATATAGGAAGAAAAGGAAGCACAGAACAAAGTAGAAGAAAGAACAATTTAGCCATCAATGATTCCAGCCGTCCTCCTGATGTGACTCGCCACCAGTTTGCACTGCTGGCCACCAGCTGCGGACCCATGATTTCATCTTTTGCTCTAAAGAAAGAAGAAGATACCAAGAAGAAGAAGGCACTAGGAAGAACATCTTTGTACCCCTAATAAATTTCCAGTAGGCATCTCTATCTTGTCAAGTAGTCTTATGGTAATCAATAGATTATTTATTTTTGGATTAGTAGGTTTACCAAATAATACAATGATTAGTAGGTTTACCAGATCTTGATTGAGTACTTGGAATTATTTTCTCAGTCATGAACTCAAGGCTGCTAGATTTAGTTTTCATCACAAACATGAATTTGTGGCATTCTCTCCCTTTACAAATATCAGATTGACAAATGTCAAATCACATCACTCATAAAAGATATGAAGGGTGATTGAATCCATCTCACTAGCTTTTCCTACAAGATTTTGAGGACCCATCCTAAGTACAATAATCTTCATCAACAAATTATTTGCCATGATGATGGCAGGCAGATAATGTTTTCTTTTTATTTTTCCTGGATAGTCTAAAATCTTTTGTTAATTAGAATGGAAAGCTGAACTGATCTCAACTAGGGTGAAAAATCAAAATTAATGAGCAATAAAGACCACCTATAGGCATTGCACTTCTTTAACAGTATCCATCTACTTCATCTGGAGTAAAAACATCACCATTTCTCACAGAACCCATCAGTTGAAGTGGTGTCATCAGGTAAAGCTGTATCACTTGGCCATGGTGGGGCACAAAGTCATGTACCAACAATTGTGACTGTGAGTGGACAAGCTCCTAATGGTGTTCAAGATAGTGACAAGGTAAGTAAATGGCAGAGCTGGCATGAGTACTGACATGGCCCAGTCCACCAAAGCATTTCAATATCTCTTGGTGTCTATCATCACAATCATGCAAAGAAGACTCATATGATTGAATTGACCAGTGATACTATTCTTTGGTACCCTAAAGGATTTATAATATATATCTCTGGGGCACCACCCTGCTTGGCCTTGAATCATCAGCCCTGCAAGTTTGGTCAACAATTGTCAGCTCATGGAGAATTGTTGACAGCATCATGAGCATGCTTAAAATATCTGATGAATACAAGAAATTGTTGATTGGAAACATATTATCATTTCAGATAATTCTAAAGATACTCCAGTTAGGGGTTGGCTAACTTGCAATCATGAAAGGAACATTCAAGGAAGAAGCTTCATTAAATTGGTACATTGGTTTGAGATGCTTGGAGAATGGCCAAGTTTTGTTAAACCTTAGTTCAATTATTACTTGAACTTAAATATGAATCACTTTTTATAGTATCAATCATAACTACAATGTTTTAGGCATATGAAAGTTATAGCACTGATCTCAATTTTTGATTGTGAGTGGAGGTTATCTTCTGAGTCTTAGAAAATGACAACATGCATCTTTTCAAGGCCCTCTCAATATCTCTTTCAGAAAAAAAAATATGCTAAAGAACAATAAACATCAATGTAGGAAGTGACTTGACACCTTCCAACCTTCATTTGAATTCTTGCAATTTGTCCCATCAGAGATGCCAACACATTCTTCAGAGAAGATTTGTGCTCACAAATCTTGCAACAGTTGAATTTTTATAGATCTTATCAAAGAGAGCATTCCAATAGAAAAATAGTCCTAAATAAAGATCAACTTATAATTCTTAAATCTAAATTAATAATAATATGCATATTAAGTTTTTAAAAATTAATATGTCTTTGCTTACACCTAATGAAATATTATACATTGAGTAGGAAAAATACTGATAACCATTTTTTTTTGACAAAATAATAAGAATACTATTGAGATAAAAGAAAAATATAGCATAGTGTGAAAGAAACAAGTTGCACTGATAGGGAACAAAAGAAACAAACAAAACCTACAAAACTTAAAAAGCATGCAAAGCAATACCATACAACTCCAATAACTATCACCAGACAATATTATGCAAAATGTCTTCAAATCTTAAACCAGAAGATGTTTTAGAGGTTCAATATTTTTTCTATTTTTCGAGAGTGAGTTGAAGATTGAAAAATAGAGTATTCTTCCACCTCTTTAGAGTATTCAACTATACGATGATATCAAATGCAACATCTATATTAGTCTGGAAGTGTCTGATGAAAATATTACAAAATTAATATTAAGATCGTATTAATATTAAGTGTCCGATGAAAATATTACAAAGTTAATATCAAATGCAACACCTATATTACAAAGTTAATAAAACTGATGGATTAAAGGAATGACTATTTCTTTATTTTGTTCAAAATATACTTTTTCTATTGATTCCAATGTTTCACCAAATAGTTATATCAATTTGGTGAGCGAGCATATGCCTAAAGTATGTCATGAGTCTCCAATCAAACGAGAAGTGTGTATATTTTATGAGCACTGAATGATCGCACATAGTATTTGCCAATTAACATAGTCCATTTAGTTTTATCAAGTATTAAGAACATGAACGCAAGTAAACATTCTCATCGTTACAAGTCAATATATTCATCACCAAGATCATCATATTAGGTATAAGCTCCAATATAAAACATTATTCACAAGTCAAGAAGGATCATAGAAGAGAAGATTTGTCATAAATTATCCTACAACACCTTACCAAAAAAATATACATAATATATTAATTTTATGAAGGAATATACTTGTGTTCTTTAATTAATATAATTAATTTTTATGAAAAAATATTCATTCAATCACTAAATGATATACGATGGTACATCAGAAAGCAAATATCATCACCAAAATGTTCTCTCGAAAGATCATCAATCCAAATATGAATGTTACAAGTGTAACATAATTTCGTAGCTCGTGTATGTCTACTGTGATGGCAATGGATTACCCCATCATAGTGTGAGTATGAAATAAATAGAGAGGAGAGGTCATGTCATCATTCCTTGTTTAATCTGGCAGTGCTAAAGGAGAAATTGACAGAGCAGCTACCAACATTTCAGCTGCCAGCAAATGTTGTCTCATCAAAGAGTAATTGTGTTTCTTCTGCGTGTCAGCTCAGCTTCTCATACAAGTAAAGATGCAGAAAAGCAGAAAGCTCAGTTTCAGAATGCAATGTGGTGGCCAATATTTCTAATATAAATAAATATTGGTGCATTTATGGTTTAAGTAGAATGGATATCATGTGAGTATTTATTTACACTAACAAACATTATAATATATACATGACACTATTCATGAACATTATAATAGTTGATGAGAGAAGTTGTTGAGAAATAAAAATTTTGATTTGAAAGGAATTATTTATCTCTATAGAATCATGAATAATACGCAGTTGGTTTCATCAAAAATAAAATAAAAATCATATTGTATCTCATGTAAAAAAAAAGAAAAAAAGAGAGAGAACAATCTTTTGTTTTTTCTGTTTTGAATTATGGGAATGAATTATTTCTATAGGTATGTGAATGATGTATAATTATTTTTGTATCGGACTTGTAACTATCATTCTGATTGGATAGATAAATGTTTGGATTATTATTATTATTTTTAACTAAAATAATTGAATATCAAAAACTCATTATACTTTTTTTTTTGTTTTTTTTTTGAATTAAGTAGAAGGAACTGACACTATCGATGAAGAGGAAGCAATAAATTAGGGTTTATCAAGACCGATGTTACGAGATTGATCTTCAAGACTCAATAAATCTGTGATGCTTTCAAAACCTTCTTGGCGAAATCAAACATAACTATTTCTAAGTAGATTCATATAAATCCCCGGTTAACTTTGGGAGTCTTTGATCGACAAGATTCATATAATCTTATAGTTTTTATGGAATGGACTACAAACCAACAACAAGGTAAGGTACACTGAATCAAGAAATGCTGTGATCAGCAACTAATGGCTGAGTTTAAAATCAAACATCACAGGTGAAGATAAATGAAAACCATAAAGAATCAATCTATCCATTTGCATCTTCAGATAAATGAAAACCAGTGTATTTGAAAGATTGCCATCCATGCTTTCCTCGGCAGTGATGTGAAACATGCATAAAAAAGAAAAAAAGAATTCTTACAAAAATAAAAATAAAAATAAAAACAATA